CAAAAACAATTTTTTTAATTTTTGGTTCTAATGGTTTTATACTTACACGGTGTAGGCACACAGTTTTGAGAAAAAAATAATTTAATAAAATAATATTATAAGATTATATAGATAAGCACGAAATACTCTTATTTTATTCTACGATGGTACTAATTAACCAAGTACTTAGATTATTATAATTTTTTAAACGAATTAAGTTAAAATATTTTGTTTTCCACGWAAATTTTAAACTTGATGAATTAAATTAACTTGTTAACCTTCTTTACTGTTAATTTTTTACCCAACATTTTTTTTATCATTAAAATAAACTTAATTATTTTCAATACATTTTTTTTTTTAAATATCGCTCATCTTTGTGACGATATTGACAAATTTAATACGATGGCGGCCGTCCAATGCATCTTATTTTCGTGACAAACAATAATCACGTAACATTAYTAACTGCAAGAGCTACACTGTAGTTGCTGTATAATATTTAGTATTATAGTTAAGATATGTATTATTGCAGTTTAATTTGCGGKGCAGTACCTATTACCTAGGTATAGTTCATCGGTTTTTAGCGATCGCATTCAAAAGACTTGTTATTATAATGGTGAATACAAAATATAATATAATATTATGATTTATGATTAATAAACGATAGAACATTATTACGTACTATTATGAGTGTATAATATAATATTATTATAATTTATTTTTGTGGTAAAATTCCATAGGTACTATATTTTGAGCAATCGCGTTTTACATAAAACGATGGCTGACCGATAAACTAATCAAATACATAGGTATATGATAATAATATGACGTTATGAACTGTCTRCTATGCCAGCTTTGTTATTATAGATTCAAAAGTCGTGATATTGATTTTCGCTTCCCGTGACGAAACCGACATTCACACATCGTRTTCGAGTGAAAAATACGCCCTAAACACTATAATAATTACATCTGCATATAGCTGGTAATAAACAACATAATATCATTACGATGATTTAAATACCTAAGCGATTCGGACGACTTTACCCGAACTATAAGGTATTAGATATTTATAAACATTATAATATTGTTAATATCAATCAAATATAATATTGTTCATGAGATATTATATTATATYAATATATAATTTATGTGGTTAGTGTAATAACTAATAATATAATAATATTATCTTAAAGCCGKTAACACTCACCTCCGTAGTTTGGTCTTACTCTTTTGTCATAGCTCAAACTGAACGAATCGAGAATCGCCGAAATGTTTACGTCACCGAACATGCCGCCGCCCGGAGCCCTGAAAAAACAATAAATCAGTATAAGTTATTTTATTTTAGGTACCTTTAGTGAGGTGCTTGAATAATTAATTATTACGTGTCGAAATGTAGACGTTCACCGTTTAGACCATTAGACCCTCGTCTCCTCCCTTTTAAACCGCGTTTGAGTAATATTATCGTAAATAATACTTATTAACTACTTACTATGTAAGTAAATTGTTAATAATTTTTTATGCTTAAAAATTTTGTTTTTTAGTATTTTTAAGTATTTTTAAGTAATTTTATTAATTATTAGTATACTAATTGCAGATATTATTCACGATTAAGTGGAATTAATACTCAAACTATTATATAAATAGTTATTGTTTTTATAGTTTTAATGTAACAGCTTTTAGGTATTTTTCATCTATATTAAAATATTTCAATTGTTTTATATTATTATACGAATTGSAAAATTTCATTAAATATCTTCAGTGATAATCGGATGTGGAGTCTTACAAAACAATAAATAACAATTAGTTGTTAATTAATTGTAGGAGATTCATAGCGAACACGTTTATTTCCARAATCCAAATAAGTATACTGTTATTTATTTTGCRTGCCTAAGATTGGTAGTTTGTTTTTGTATTATTCTTAGTTTAAGTGTAAAGAAGTGTTAAAAGTTCTAAAAGTTAATCAGCCATGTTTCTATCGTTCTCATGGTATTTGTGTGCCTATAAAACAAATTGTTGCCATTTTTTAATGGGATTATTGCGTTAAAAATTCATTTTTATTACATTTTTGTTTATTTTTTAGAGCTTTTTTGATAGTTTTTATAGGACATTAACTTCGGGTCCTATTCATGACTAATAAAGTTGTAACTGTTGTTATTGGAGCGTATTAATATTGAAAGTGTTATGAATCATATAATAATAATAAATATAATAATATTATATAATATAATAATAGTAAAAGATATAAGACAAAAATATTTGTTTATCATTAGATACTGAACTTTTTCTCATAGTCACATGATTAGTGGAACTTATTTTAGTGTCGTCAATAATTAGAATATAKTACYTATATGATAACGCTTATTAAAAAAGTGCCTGCTTATTATTGCATAGGTTTGTATGATAGTGTAAGAATAGATTGATKTATACACATTTTAAGCAAATATAATGTTACAATATTCAAAAATTCTAGTTTTTAATTTAATAYATAAAAGAACCCGGTAATATAACACTGTATATTATAATGTTTTYACCTTCATATTGTATTAYTAATCAAGAATTATTGTATAAAAAATACTAACGAAACAAAATTATGTTATAAATGTACTGTTTTATGCGTTTTTTAGCTCTAGCGTAACATATTTTTAACAATGTAATTAATAGGTACGTAGATTGAAGGTCGCTGTAGCATAATATAAAATATGTAGATATGGACGCACAAAACGTCTATGGATTGTATCGATCGCGGCCACCGATTTAGGGAAGGTATAGGACATTATTGTGCAGTATAATATGTGTTCCCAGTGTGGCAGTATAGGTATATCTACAAAAGAGAGAATAATAATCGGCCAAAACAAACTATATAACGCTTTTGAATCAACAATATGAAGTTTGAAAATGTTTGAATGGAGGTATTCAATGGAAATAAAAAAAAATCTACTTTTAAAATATTTAGGTACGTAAATATTCAGAACTCTGAATAAGATTTTATTGAAATGAATTATTTCCAAATCACATTTCACAAATTTATTGAACAGAAAATAAAGTTGCTGAAGAGGAAA